CCTTGTAGCCATATCATTGTTATAATACTGCTGTTAAGAAGTTCACGATACTGTAATAGTATAATAGTAGTATATTCTTGGTTTATGAGAGTACATTCTAGCTATATCTGCACCTTTTGAGCACCTAATTAAGTAGCTACCTATTACTAGAGTCTACACTAGATACCGTACCTATAATCTACTATTACTTGAGCTATTCAATTAAACTCTCTGATGTTCCCTATTCTGTATTACCACCTCAATTACGCCAATCTATAACCTCGTGCTGCTTCATTGAAGACCACCCAGATCGACATGTGCTATACTACTTGCACCCTAATTCTATAGATAACTCAGTAGGATTCTCATACTTACTGGGTTACATTAGAGAAGGTGTAGTATATACTATTCTAATCTTTCTATATCCTACACATTTTCAGACTAGGCCTTTTTGGTAACTTACACTGAGTCCGAAGACAAGTACTTGCAAGCCAAGACCACTACGATTACCTACTACTGCCCTTGTAGAGTTCACCCAAACCTCGGTACCTACTTTACAGACTTTCTTCCATATCTCCGGAAACCCAAACTCTTAATATGATGGCCCAGAAGAGCAAAACTCTTCCTCTGATTATCTGACAGCCTGGTTGGTATAGTGCCTTTCCAAACATCTTAGTCCTGTCTGATTTTTCAGTATCCAATTAATCATTCTTTATATAGTAACCATCAAAGATCTATACTACCTCTCCACTCAAGTCTTGCCAAGTAGGCTCCCATACTCTGTAAATTCACTGGATTTATCCAGTAGCTTCACTCAGATTTTGTGTAACTTGTACATCACACTACATGTCCCACTACCTCCCAGTACAAGCTGGTACAACTATCATTACAGATTCTACAACCCCAATAGGATATAGTCTTCCAAATGCATTTTCTATAATTCAAATGTTTGTCACTAGTAGGATTTGAACTCTAGTCCTGCCACTTAGGGGTGCAATAACTTGCCAACTTCACTAAGTTGCTACACCTCCAAAAAATTTTAAATTTCTTTAAAAAATAAAAAAATTCGGTTTAATCTGATTTCATTTTAATCTGTCACAATTAACTATTAAATTACTAATTAAAGAAATATTTTTATAATTTTAATTTTAAGTATTTTTTTTTTCTAATTCGGCTATCCTGCTCTTGTTTATTTGAGATCAAGTTATTCAAAATTACAAGTAATTTATCTCTAACTAAAATAGATCCAACCAAATAAAGAACTTGCATACGTGATTTTATACACCAGATGTGACCTGCCTTAGTAGTTCTTGGTCTCTCTCAGGGTTCTTAACTCACTAAGGACTTTTCTCTGTTGTTTATTGGCTGGTGGCTACCTGCTCATCAAGAAGCAAAATCAGAAAATAAAACAAGGAAACTAAAAAAAAACACAGAGGTATAGAGGACTACAGTAAAAGAATACAAAATACGAAAAAAAAAAGGTAAAAGAATATCAAAAAAAAAACAAAACAAAACAGAAAATTTGCTAATCTTAATGCCATAGTTATAAGCCTGTAGGTAGCTTAAAAAAATTACATACTAACTAGACAAATTAGTCTCTACTTCTATTTTTCTCTAAACTAGTATGTGAAAGTAAAAACCCAATAGGAAAAACTTCATCAACCGGCTTAAGGTAAAGAGGTTGGAACAACGTCTCAGAGCATTGTTTGTACAGATATCCATTGCATTTGAAGCATATGTATACATGTATTTGTTGTTATGTTCTGATTTGGGAGATAAACAATGCTGACTTGTTTGGTATATATGATATTGATTATTTGAAGAGATAAGCTAAAATGGCCACTTTTTACAAAAATATCTCAAAAAAAAGTAATGGGTCAACAAAAGTATATGAGGTTCTTCTTGTAAGTTTTACAGTTGTATAGTCTAGCTTCTCCATTTCTACTACTTAAAAGTGCACTTTTGGCTACTTCTACAGACTTGTTCTCAGAATAAACCTTCTGATTTGGATGCTGAATACTTTGGGAAGTCTGCTAGAAAGAAAACTTGACCCTAAAGAAAACCATCTGTTCTTTTGACACCTGCTTCTTGGTATTTCACATCTAGACAGCTTAGACTTCATCGACAACAAGCTGCTTTTACTTATAGAACCAAGTTTTAGTATCTACTTCATTGCTTTTCTATACGTTTTGCTGTAGTTCAGTTTTTATTGTTGTTGACCAGAGGATTATTAAGAAGAGTGTTTCTGGATATATTAGTTTTTATTATATACCTCTTTTTTCATTTTCTTTTATTCTTTTTTTTTTCTTTTTTCCTTTGCTACAAGAAAGTGTAATCAGTTTAACAACATTCTATTGTAGAACAGGAATCTTGATGAGATGAGCAATAGCCAGCTGAGGAATCTGAGGAAAATAAGTCTGAAGTGAGTTTTGAATCTCTAAAAGAGGCCAAGTATTGCTAAGCAGGTTGCATCTGAGCAAAACATAGTGGTTTAATGATTCGCTCTAACTGCAAGTAGATGTTATGGCATCTGCGAGGTATACTATAAATAAGTTTACATTTTGATTGAAATACTTATAGATTTAAATTTCTTATACCGATGTAAGGATGAAAGTTTGTTTCCATAATAAAGTAAACAGGATTGCTGAAGAAAAAAAAAATTTTAGTAAGTTTATTACAAGTATAAAAGGTTTTAAAATAATAGTAGCTGTTTTAAAGTCTTAAAAAGCCTTAGTAAAAATTTTTTATTATGAAAAATATTTAATAATATAAAGTTAATCAAAGAGTTTAAATAAATAAATTTTAGATATAAAATTAATAAATAACTATAAATAAAAATAAATATAGCAAAATTTTTAAATAAAAATAACTAAAATTATATATAGCTAATTGTACTTTATTAATATAACAAAAGTTAGATATATCTGTAATTACTGTATACTGATATTTAAACCAATATTTAATAAAATATATCAGACTTCAAAATGGTTATTTCAATATTAAAAAAATAATTAATTATATTTATATATATATTTTTTTATATTTTACATTATTAATTTTTTGTTTAAAAATTAATTTTTTAAATAAATTTATTCACAATACAATTTAAGAATATACAATATAATTTTATAAATTTGTAGATTGTTTTTATTTATTCGTTTAAAAAAAAATTAAATTTTATATAGAATTCGTAATTAAAATGCTGTATTTAAATTTTATAATTATACCTATATATTAATTAAAGCAAAATAATTATTGCAAAATTTAATATTTAAATTATTTGCAAGCTTGCTACAGTATATAATAATCAAAAGATATACGTAAATAACAAAATAAAATTTACTGCATACACATATATGATATCAAACAATTACGTAATTAAACTTGTTTTACCATCTTATCTATTAAAATAATAAATACAGTACAAAATTAAAAAATTATTTAAATCAATGCATTATATTAATTGTATTAATAAAATGAACAGTTCACAGAATTTTAAATGCAGATACGTAGAAGCTAGGCATTTTGAAAGTAATTTACGTACGTATTAAGATTATTATCGGTTATTATGGACATGAAATTGATACTATAGAAAATAGAAATAAACACAAGCGTTTTGTAGTATTTGTATACTAACACGGTATATTAAAGTGCAACGTTTATTTAGTGATACAGATTAAATTGCTATCTCATAGTCACGCGATAGTGAAACTTGCACAATCATGAAAGCTTTGTCTTTTCCTAATATATCAATGTCAACATATGTAATGTCCACGTGATCATAAACGTGCCAGTTCCAAAATGACGAAGTCTGTTATCATGAAACCTACGATAATTAGAATATAAAAATGTCAATCCGAATAAGCAACATTGCACAGAGACTGAGTGACATATTGTGGGAAAAAAAGTCGGTGAAATGCGGGAATAATATTGATTCGGTTGCATAATACTTGATAAGACAATCTTTATTCCACTGTAAACTATAGATAAGATCATAGGACTATCAAATGAAACGAGATTATCTCTTTTATCTTTAAATCATTCTAGGTCAGTATTTTTATTCAAGCACATGCTGGCTGGTAAACTCTCCCACGCAATATGCCTCCATTATGCCTCCAATATGCCTTTAATGTGTCTTTAATGTGCCTTCAATGTGTCTTCAATGTGCTTTCAATGTGCCTCCGATATTGCCTCCAATATTGTCTCCAATATGCCCCAATATTGTCTCCAATATGCCCCAATATGCCACCAATATTTCTCCAATATGCTTACGTACAATGTTTCCAATATGCCTATATTTTATTTTATTTTAAATGTTTCAGTACGGCAATATGTCTGTTCGATACTAATTTGATCTGAATGCCACAGTATAAAATATATTGCTCACCTAAAAAAAAAAAAAAAAAAAAAAAAAAGGGTTACACGAACAAGAATAAGCGAGATACTGCTTAGATAGGAGAACCTCAAATGCCTTTCGAGATGCAGATATTCAAGAATATTTTATCTTTAATTTCGCAAATCTACACTTTGTATAGATTCAGAACATTTCATAATCGTACAGTCTACGCCCACTCCGTTTGCGTTTATATTGTATTCAAAGAGCAATCGACGATATCTGTTAATCTGTTTGTAGCATACAGCTGATAAAGTCTTATCGGTATTTATAGATCACGATAAAATAAATATGTTGTGCACAGCCTATAAACTGGTAATAGTAATGAATAATAAATAATGAATAGTTGACCATTACAAAAAAAAAAAAACAGAGATCATTGATAAAAAAAATACATCACACTTTGTAAAAAAAAATATATATATATAATAAAATAGTAATATTTTTTTTTTTACTACTACAATTACTACTATTACAACTACTTTACAAATACTACTGCTACCATTATTACTACATTCTATTATTACATTCTTAAATGAATGATACTTCATCTTCAGTATTCCCTTCGCAGTCGAATTCCTCTTTAAACTCTCCAAAATTTCAAAATTCAAAGTTTCATTTCTCTTCAATGGCTACTCAACAACCTCAAATTTATGGCGAGCAAGCATTAGACCACAGATATCATCAATATATTGGTAGCAATAATATGGAAACGCTCCTGAATGCCATCGAAGTATCTCCTATGTCTCCTGTCAGTTTGTCTCGGAAATTACAAATTTTAAAACCAAAAAATATCGGCTCAAATACTTCTGTATCACAAGATGAAATTTCGGACCAACGCTCATACCATCAAGATGAACGTACTAGATATGAACAAATTCATAGATTCCTACCTCCTCCAATCTCAAAAAATATGCTTCCCGATGCAATGTCTATCTCTTCGTTGATAGATTCGGACCAACCGATAAAATCTTCGTCTCCTCTTACTCCCCCAGATACGTCTTTAACTTTCCCCGGTCTTTCTACTTCCCCAACAAAAACTTCTCCTGCGACTTCTCCAGTTCCACTAGCTTCTATGCTACCCTCGGCTCCTATGTCTGTCCCTTCTCCTACTGATTCTATTCCTTTCCCTCGTTTACAACCTTCACCCCCTGCAAACATTTTTTTAAATACTTTCCCCCTTCCAAGTGTGAATCAGGCCGTAGGTGACGTTGATCGTACGCGTAATTCTCCTCCTCCTTTAATTCAAAATAAAAATCATTTAGTATCAAACAAAAGAAAATGTGATTCTCTTGTAACTGGTACTTATTTAAAAGAGTCTCGATCAAAAATACGCAGATCTTTATCGATTAATGATACTATAATACATAATCCTTCTTATCCTTCCGTTGACGTTCCCTCCGATTCTTCTCAAAATTTACTTCTTTGTCAAAATGATTCTTCCACCCCTTTTCATTTTACCACTATCACTTGCTATCATGCATCTGTTGCCCAAAAATCTTATGGTAGTGAAAAAAGGTTTTTATGTCCTCCTCCTGTGGTCATTCTTGAAAAACCTTCAAATTCTTGTAGAAATTTTCATCTAAAACCTGAAGTTTCAATGTCTGTTGTATGCGAAACTGGTGAACGTTCAATGGAACAAAGGACTATGCTTGATGAAAATATGAAGGGTACCTTTAAATATTTACATGTTAGTGGCACTGCTAAAGCAAAACATTTCACTCTTAAATTAAAAATTTTTCATAAGAATTCTACTATTCCATACGCTATGTTTGATTCCGACCCCGTCACTATCATATCAAAACCTTCTAAAAAAACCGCAAAAGCTAGAAATATTTCTTCTTGCATTTCTTCCGGTGATCATATTTCTCTTTTTAATCGTATTAATTCTCAAACCGTACGGACTAAATATATGGGCATAGAAAGTGGTGAATTATGTGCAAAGAATTCTACTTGGTCTTCTTTCGTGATAACCGTAGTAAATAATAACAACAATAACAACAACAACAATAATGAGCCTGGTTCTTTTTCGCCGATAAATTCCTCGAAAAGTTCTTCTCCGATTTCTTCTCCCGGTTCTCCTTCTAGTTCCGTATGCTCAAAGACTCAGATTACTTATGGTTCAGAAGTTGTTCTTTCCGATCCAACGACTGGTTTTATTTCCGATCATTTAATTATTCGAAAGGTAGAGAAAGGTCGTATTGCTCAAGGTGCTTGTGGCCCCGTTAGTCAAATGCAAAAAATTGCATTACAATGTGTCCGTATGAATGGTCGAGAATCTCATTATCTTAGTGCCGCTGGTCCAATAACGATGGATAGTCCTCAATTACAAGATCAATGTACTGTTAGTGGTGCTTCACCTTTTCTGGGTTATCAATCTTCTCGGGTAGTTCATATGCAAAATGTTGAATTTGCAAAAGAACCTTTTCGATTGGTTTCAACAATGCAAAATATTCCTTGTACAAAATCTGATGCAACTTCTACAATCGTCGAAGAAGTTGATGATTATTTATGTTGGACAATCGTAGGAATATGTATGTATTATTTTCATCAATTTATCTATTTCGTGTTTTATCCAATTAACATATTCTTATGATCGTTATTTTATCTTTATTATTTTATTACTATTAGCAAAATTTCAATATCAATATCCTTACTATGAAAATTACGAAGCTTGTGGAATTTAAGCCTTTTACGCAACACAAAAATAAAGAAAAAAAAAACAAATCGAAAAAAATTATTACGTATGATCGATCCTTCCGCACTACTTACGAAATTACAAAGGGTGAAAGAATTTCTACTCATTTATTTATCAATTAGTAGTTGTGTATACGAAAAAAATTATGATATTTTTGTAAATTTCTCGAGTAACAAAAAAAAAAAACCCCCCTACAACTATTCAATTGTTAAGAATAAATATGTACTTTTTTTCGATGTACCGCTAGAGATTCGTTATTCTTCTTAAAACCTCTTTCGTAGCTAGCGATTCAAAATTATTACAACGATTACGTATGACTAATTTCGAAAGTGGACAAATTTTTGTATAGATGATACATTTTAAAAAAAGATTTTATAAATAAATTTTTGAGGAAAAAAAAAGACGGAATCTGAAAATGTACTAAAAAAGGGTTATATAGTAAGAATATTATTTTAATAATTGTAAATATATTATCTGTTATATATAATTAATAAATATTGTGTTAGTTAATAAAGTATATATCTATATATACATATAATTGATAAATTTATTACGTATTTATTTATTTATTTTTTTTTTTGGTACGTATAATTTCGAATCCGAAAACTCAAATTATCGATAAGAGCATAAGTAACGAGAATCTTAAATTATCTATTATCAATTAGATTTTTGCTCTCGTGTCAGCATGCATAGAAGTTGGTGTTTCCTTTTGAAGGTTTCTTATTTTACTTATTGTAGTGTTTCTGGTTTTAAAGTCTATTCTTTAAAAATTTACGATTAAAAATTATTGTTATATATATAGATGATAATCCGAATTTCTTTGAGTAACTATGTATCGTACGTATCGGTATAATTAATTGACGTTTAATACATGGTTAATCATATGCTTTGATCATACAAATTTGTATATGCGCATGGAATTTGTTATATTGCCACATTAGACCTGTTTTGAACTGGCACTACGTAGTCAAGTACTTACGTACATACTAACACGGTTAGCTCTTGTTAGCAATTATCTATTGCGATAGTTCCTTCGGGAAGCCTAAATATAGAATAATTGTAGTGTTTATGGTCGACCCATTTAAATTCGAATTGTCAAAATCAGATATAAATATTTCATTTGATTGGCTAAATTCGAAAGGATGGAGTTATACTGAGCCATTGTACCTCAGTTTTACCTTATTTTGATCGTGATTATAATGAATATGAGATATAATACCATCCGTGCGTAAATGCTCTTTTTGATGCATTTATTTATTTTAACGACGTTTTGAGCATGGTTGAAGTTCGTTTTGATTGGTTGTCGAATCTGATCATCAGATTAAATGTGATTGGGCGATATATCACGTGTTACAATAATCGCCATATGAAACCTTCGATTTTGGTAAATTTCGGTAATATGACAAGTGCCACAGTTGTTCGTACAACAAAGCTATTTTTTTTTACTAGAACGTATTTTCTATACTAATATACCTTTTGAGACTTT